TCTCTGTCCCTCGTTACTCACACTGTCTTTTCCAACACCCAGCTACTCAGATGGTCAGTGCAGGAGGAATCTTTCACAGGCTTCAGGGACAGCGCAGAATAGGGCAGAAGACTGGTGGAAGGCTGGCAGAGATGCACACCTTTTGGCAGTCTGTATTTCCTCCATTTTTATAAAAAAAGCCTTTTTAACAGATATCTTCCTCACTATCGTACTATCTGTCCTACTGACAGGTATTATATATCCACCCTTTCTCCCCCTGGGCACACTAAGAAGCCTGCAAGCTCCATGGTCAGAAGCAGGATTTCCCCCCTCTGGCAGCTGCCAAAACATATTTAGCAGTAAGCCTCAGACAGAAATTATCATGATATGGGGCTCACAAAAGACAAGACCAAAATACTAGGAATTCTATAGAAGATTAAATTATTTTTTTAAAGAGAAACAGAAAAACAAAATATGCTGCAATAAGGAAAAACAACAGGAAAGAAAAAGTTCAAAAGGAAATGAAAGGAATCAGAGTGGAAAGGGAAAAGAACTGAGTAGAAAGACTGACAGCACAAAAAAAACAGACACATATTAATGTACTCACGCATATACCAGATGGATTGATCTTTTCAGCTCTTAGTGTAGTGTTGATACATATATACTAGCAAAATGTAAGGAGGAGATTGTATGCTTTCCCAGCAAACACATGAATTTTACACCCTTATGCTCTAAACTATCTTTATTCAACAATATTGTAAGAACTGGATTAGTAATGAAACACATAGCAAATCACATCAATTAAAGATGAAAAAAACTCCCTATTTGGAAAAGACTAATTTTTGCCTAAAATTCATGTTGAAGTAAAGCACAATATTATCTGACAGTATTTATCCAAAATACAAAGTACTGCTATATGGTATTTGAGTTTGGACAAGTTCTGAATTTCAAAATATTTATAATATAGACTATTAATTCTGCATTTTGGGAGAAGAATAAGAGAGATAGGCAGACAGATGAAAATCCAGAAAGGCAGGGAAGAGTGCCGAGAAAGGGAAAATTCCATGGGGGGCGGGGGGGAACAAAAAACCAAAAAAACTATAAAGCTAACAACAGTGAAAAGAGGAAAGTAAGACACTACGGTCTAGCTTTGAAAAAATTAAAAATCCATGGAGTTCTAAAATTAAAACATAATGAAACAAAAATGAGAAAAACAAACAAAAACCAAACAAACAAAAAAAGAACTAAACCAACCAACCAACCAAAAAGCAGGCAGAAAGAACCTCTTCCAACCTTGAAGATGATTCTATGATTTTATGAACATTAAAATATCAGAAAAATTGTTGCAGTCACACACACCTCCTCACAGAAGCTGAAAATAAAGAGAGATGGGCAAACAGAAAAACAAAATATGCTGCAATAAGGAAAAACAACAGGAAAGAAAAAGTTCAAAAGGAAATGAAAGGAATCAGAGTGGAAAGGGAAAAGAACTGAGTAGAAAGACTGACAGCACAAAAGAAACAGACACATATTAATGTACTCACGCATATACCAGATGGATTGATCTTTTCAGCTCTTAGTGTAGTGTTGATACATATATACTAGCAAAATGTAAGGAGGAGATTGTATGCTTTCCCAGCAAACACATGAATTTTACACCCTTATGCTCTAAACTATCTTTATTCAACAATATTGTAAGAACTGGATTAGTAATGAAACACATAGCAAATCACATCAATTAAAGATGAAAAAAACTCCCTATTTGGAAAAGACTAATTTTTGCCTAAAATTCATGTTGAAGTAAAGCACAATATTATCTGACAGTATTTATCCAAAATACAAAGTACTGCTATATGGTATTTGAGTTTGGACAAGTTCTGAATTTCAAAATATTTATAATATAGACTATTAATTCTGCATTTTGGGAGAAGAATAAGAGAGATAGGCAGACAGATGAAAATCCAGAAAGGCAGGGAAGAGTGCCGAGAAAGGGAAAATTCCATGGGGGGCGGGGGGGAAACAAAAAACCAAAAAAACTATAAAGCTAACAACAGTGAAAAGAGGAAAGTAAGACACTACGGTCTAGCTTTGAAAAAATTAAAAATCCATGGAGTTCTAAAATTAAAACATAATGAAACAAAAATGAGAAAAACAAACAAAAACCAAACAAACAAAAAAAGAACTAAACCAACCAACCAACCAAAAAGCAGGCAGAAAGAACCTCTTCCAACCTTGAAGATGATTCTATGATTTTATGAACATTAAAATATCAGAAAAATTGTTGCAGTCACACACACCTCCTCACAGAAGCTGAAAATAAAGAGAGATGGGCAGAGGAGGAGAGGGAAAGATACCCACTCACACTCTAAGACACATTTCTCGGACCTTATATAGGCAAAGCTCCTACAAAAAGCAATAATGATCTTGTCTGTACAAGGTCTTAGTATTCAGTCCAGTATTGAAGTGGGTATGAGAGATGGACACACTGAGGGGAAAAAAAGAAACAAGGAAAAGGTGGGGGGAAAAGGACTTGGAAAACAATCAGAGAAATACAGAGCAAAATAGATTTATCAATTATTTTTTTCAATCCTAAAAAACCCCCACTCCAAACCAACAATAAAACATGATAATGTTTTCATTTGTTGATGAAATGTGTTAAAAATGACAGCTGTGCATTAACTGATAAAAAAGGAACCTGACCAAAGTAAAAGAGAAACCTCAGACCTCTTAATCTCTATAGCCTAATTCCAACATTTTTTAGGAAACTAAAGGCTTACTTATATATGCATATTAAGAATGTTTTGTATTAAAAATGCTTAAAATAGACTTCACAATCACACAGAAATATGTTATTTAAACATGCCATTATAATTAAACAAAATATAAATGTTCTCTGTTATACAGAAAATTAAAAATCAGCTCTTTCTTCAGTAAGAATAGGTTTGCTTCATTATCATTTACAGCTGAACTTATCATATGGATACATGATCATTCAGTGACAATATTTGGCAGTATCATAGGAAAAGAATACCAAAGCAGTGACCCACACGGCCATTCAGGAACACTTTTGTTTGGAATGTTTTTGAAAACTGCCAGTTACAGTCCTTACAGTGGCAGAAATTATCTTAAAATCAGTGGAATTCTTGCTGGTATAAGGACTGTAGGATCTTTAGCGCCAATTCAGCACAGTACTTCAGCAGG